GGCAGACCCTTTCAGAAACTTCAGGATAACTAGGATTTCATGTGAGTGAAAATATTCATTTACCAGCCTTAGCTCTAATTCTCAGAATAAAACAGATTTTTTTTTTTAAAGAGGAAGATATGGGAGTTGGGGGAAGTGTATTAACTTCAATTTGAAGTTCAAGGTTTTCCAGAAAAATTTCACCAAATTTATATTTGATCTGGCATCCTGATCCCTAGATTTGTCTGGACAGGAGTTAGAGCATGGCCCAGAATGTCTGGTCTTGCTTACAAGAAGCTCTGAGGAAACCCAAACTGCTCTTCTATAGATCATTAAAATTAGGAGGCTAGTTCTACTGTAAGAAGACCTTCTGGCTGGTAGGTAGGCCAGGCACAAATCATTTTTATGAATAATTTTTTTGTGTTCCACCCATCTCCAACACACCAGGGCTCTAAAAAGGTTAAGGCCTGGGCTTTGGGGAAGTATTCCATTCCCTGTGGGAAAGTCGGGCTTCTGATTTCACCTGAAAGCCTGTTTCTATAGCCACTATTAAAACACAGATGCTTTAGAAAGGCACCATCGCCAAGTATTTGTACCCAGGCCTGTTCTCTCACACAGAGTCCCCTTTGGCGTCAGTGGCCAATGGCTGTTGACAGGCTGGAGATTTCTGGATGCAGAAGCGCAGGCCCAGATGCAGAGGAGACGTGGGTGCCACCAGGACAGCAATTCTTTCCTAATCCCTTCCTGCTCTGGGTCTTCTGTTGCCTCCATGTACCGTACCCTTCTCCTGCTCTGAGCAATGCCACACTCCTCTTTATCTGGAGGAAGACAGGCATGACATGGAGCACCTCTGTGTGAGCCATGTGATCTCTCAACTGGAGGAAAGTGACCTCAGAACTACGTCCCCTGGCTTCTAAGTAACTAAGTGAGGGATATAATCTCATGGCAATTGTTCTATTCCTTTTAATTCCATTGGCCTTTCTTAGTCTAGATTTTTTAGGAGGCTCACATCACTCCACATTTACAAAACATCTCTAATGTAGGAGGGACAGAGTGTCCACAGGAGGCTGGGCATCAGGCTGTTTGTCCTACGTGGCAGAGGATTTCCATGGCTCATGATAATTTGCTCTACTCATGGCCCTGATCAGCAATCACAGTCCAGGAAACCGTTGCCCCAGAGGGAAATTCACAGAATGGGACCTAGCAAACAGACATGTGCCAGGGGACAAGCCAAAGCTTTGCCTCCATCAGCACAAAAGAAAGAGACTACAGCAAAAGCAGTTTTTACTTCCTTTAACACACCTGGGCCTGAAGCTGGTCTCATCCTTTGAATTACCAGGTGTCTAAGTCATCTCATCACCCCAAGGGGTTAACAAGAAACTTGGCTGAGGTGCATAAGCTCCCCAGTTCCCAGCATCCAGGTGACAGACTGTCCATCTCCACAGTCATTCCAGACCACCATCCCAGACCACGTGATTTCAAGTATGAAAAGCATTTCTACCCTGATAATGCTTTCAAATGCCCATTTCTGGTTTTTGATGTTTGTCCTTCAATATCAGTATCTTAATCCTTTCTCATATACTTCCACATTTTCCTCAAACAGCAAAAGGTGTCCTGATGTTCCTTTGTGACATTGGAATTAGGAAGCATCAGCTATATGGTGGTTTTCTCTGTATAACCCAAATGTCTGGACCGCCTTGCCTACCCATTCTAACTCCTTCTGCAGCTTTCCTGTCTCCCCTGATAAAGGGTTGATGCTTTCCCTCTTGCAAGTAAAGACAAAGGTCAACCCCTTTCAGAACTCTCCATGAGTCCACATGAAAACAGGTCACAGTGGTTGTTCAGGTTTGTTGAGGTGAATAACAAGTCACTGATTCACAAGCTTGGGGTTGCAATGTCCTGACAATGACTGTATACTCTGTGAGGAACTGACCCTCCCCAGGAAATACATGGCCTGCCCTGCCTGAGGAAGAAGCTGTCCCCCAAGCCTGGCCCCGAGACTGTTGGCCCAGCACGGGAGGGGAAAACCAGGAGCCCACCCTCCGCTCCCATCCGACAGCTGTGATATCAGCATCATCTGCCAAGCATGGAATGCCCCAAAACAGTCATCTTACTGATGCCAAAGAGTCTTTCTATGTGCACACACCCAGCAATGGCCATTTGGAATCTGGCCGTGCCCTTCCCTAAGGCCATCTGCCTAAATAAAGAGTGTCCAGTCCTGTTTGTGGCATTGATAAAGCAGCCACAAGCACCCTGAGCCCGCGCCGCACCTGTTCCTAACTGCTCTGCAGAGCACAAGGCTGGCACAGAGCAGGCACAGGAGACGAGGTGGGCGATGGCAAGGCAGGCCCTAAAAGAAGGAGATTTAGACATTCTTTGAGATGTCTTCATTTTGAAAATATAAAGTCTAACCAAAGAAAGCACTGGAAATTCAATTCGATTTAGCTCAGTAAATGACTACATGCATGGATCTGTATTAAATGTAGCACAGAAAAGAACTTGGCTGGCTGACAAACCTAGCACAAGAAAAATCCTCCACTTTTTCTTCATCTTTTCCTGGGATAGTGTGTAAGTTTTCATCTTTGATTTTGAAGGGGTAGAATGCCTATCCTTATTACCAGGGATTGTTAATAATACACAGTTATAAGATTTTAAAAATCCTTCTGTGGAGAAGTGTTGAAGGCTGATTTATTGGCTTCAAAAGTGCTTTAAAGGATTCTTTAGTGGAAGAAATTGCTAGTGGACAATCATCTTTAGTTATCTGTAAGCACATGACTTTTCCTGCCCAAGATCATACAATGAATAGTAACATTTTATCTTATGCAACAGAATATTTCTCTCTGCTAATGCAAAACAAATGATCAGACACAAAGAACATAGAATTGTCTCATCTAGGAAATTAAAAGTCAAATTTAAAGAAAGGATTATCATAATCATCTAGTTGTCTGGCTTTCAAAATAGGATACCCAGAACCCCCAGATACTGAAAAACTCTCAGGGGTCATCTGCATGAAGCACAAAGAAGGGAAGGCTTTAGGATATTTAACAGGACCTACAGAATGAAGAAAATCCCCTGGTCACATTTTTAGGATCATGTGAGTACATAGCAGGCACTTGCTTAGTCTTCCTGCAATGTTCCCAGCCAAGTTTAATTCTCTGGATATACTACTTCCTTGCACAAATTATAAAATGAAAAAAAAAATGACCAAAAGTAACTATTTTTCAAAATACTCACATGCAAACTCGTATGCAATTCAATAACAGGATTAAACCAGGATCAAACAAAAGTTTAAAACAAATTTGCTACTTATGATGTGTTAGTACTATTGTGATTACATATTCCCTTTGATAAGGAACTGAGATAAGAAAAGTAGGGGTGGGTGTTGCTAAATGGCAGAGGCTTGCCTGGTGCAGGCCAGACCCTGGGCTCAATCCTCAGAACCACCAAAAATACAAACAGCCAAAGAAATAAAAAACAAATCCTTTAAAAAAAAAAAAGAATCAGAAGGAATATGTTTACACATTTTTAGGCAAGTGATTTTATTTCTAGGAAGACAAACATGCACCCAAACTAGAATTTTGTTGGAGTCAAGGATAAAATGTGGTGTAGGGGAGATAAACTCACATAATGTGTTAGGGAACACACATAATGTGTTTGGTCTTACAGAATTATGAATTAAAGCAGAGAGATTATAAATGTTGATATCTAAGTGAAAGAAGCCAGGCATGAAGGTCACAGGTATATGAGTCCAATTATGTGAAGTAAGCAAACCCAGGGTGATAGTGAGAAGGCTGCTGACTTCTCAGGGCAGGTAGGGAGCAAGGGGAAGGAAGCCTGGGGCTTCTCTGTGACACACTGAAAAGGTTCTGAATCCAGAGCATGGTGATATTTGTACACATCTGTGAATATATTAAAAAAAAAAAAACACTGAAGTATATACTTCAAAATGGTCAACTGTATGGTGTGTGACTTCTACCTCAACCAAAAAGGGTTACTAAAAACTGACAAGCCCTGGTGGGTAAAGCCAATGGAAGAAAAGATCAGTTAAACAGGTTTCTTCTCAGAGTGACTCCTTTTTTTCTTTTGGCTTTTTACAGAGGATCTATATCTGATAATTGTTTTATGTCCTCAGCAGAATTAAGCATCATATTATATAGAGGGTTTTGCTAAATGACCATTGATTAAATTACGATGGCAGCCTCATGAGCTGTGCTAGCAATGATTACAAAGGTAGAAAAGCTCCCCGTTCTATTCTCATCACCTATCACTACAGTCTCCATAGAAATGCTCTGTCTGACCTGATGCCAAAATACAGCACAGTCTTGGGCAATTTGGTCTAGTCATATTGGAGCCCATCTACCTTTCTACAATTGTTATCTTTACAAATACAAGCCTTGTGCTTGTATTTTCATAAGAGTGGTCTGGTTTTACTTCCTAATTAAATGAAAAAATCACAAAAGTCATCTATCTCATGTTTTTCTATCTATATTATGAACATCTTTGCAGAAATTAGAAAAATTTGTTGGAATGCAACTTAAATAAATGCAGGTGTTGCACAGAAAAGTGTGTGTTTAGATAATGCAGGTGAACCACAATTAAGAAAACTCAGTGGTGATGATGTAGAAAAACATGTTTTCCTATTATAAGTAAATCATGCTGATATATCTTTCAAAAATATCATCAAGGAGCTATGTGTTTAAGAGCATACAAAATGTACCTCTGTTGTTCTACCGATAGAAAATCAATGGAGCAAGAGAGATAAAAAGGTTCTTGCTGACCTCTCCCCTCTGAGCCTCAGTGTTCTTGTTATGTAATGACAACACAGTGAGTCAAGAGGGTTATTGTGGTGACACGTGCAAAACAGAGTCAGACACACAGCTAGCACCTGGGAATTTTTGCACATGCACATTATTATATTACTATAACTAGAAGACCAGAATCTAGACATATATCTAGAAATGGAATAACAAACATATAGAGAAAATCCAAGGCCAGAATCCCACCCTTTTCACTATACATACCTGCCGCAATGTAGGAGCCTCCTCCGGCTTTATAGAGAAAGTGGCTGGCGAAGGGGGCTGCGCAGATAATCAGAAAGCTGGCGGTCACCACTGTGACCACCCCCAGGAGCATAAAGACTGCCCAGAAACCACGGTAAACTGGACATCACAGGAGAAAAGAAGGAAAGAAAAATACACTTAGATTATGGACACAGCAGGCTGTCACATGGTAAGTTTCTTAGCACTGCTAGATGAAATCCCAGGCTATGGTCCTGAATTATCTTAAACAGGACTTCTTACCAGGTGACCTTGGACTCAGTGATGACAATGATGGTGACCTTCAATAAATCTTGAGCTCCAAACTTTTTCTTTTCTTTTCTTTTTTTTTTTTTTTTTTGGTACCAGAGATTGAACCAACGGGCACTTTACTACTGTGCCTCATCCTCAGCACTTTTTTTTTTCCTGAGACAGGGTCTCACTAAAGCTTCTTGGAGCCTTGCTAAGTTGCTGAGGCTGGCTTTGAACTTGTGATTCTCTTGCCTCAGCCTCCAGAGCTGCTGGGATTACAGGCATGTGCCACTGTGCCCAACTTATGTTCAGAATTTGCACCACACACATACCTCATACACAAGAGGAGCTCATTTTCCTGACCAGATTCCCCATTTTAAAAGTGGCAACACTTAAAATTCCAGACCAAGCTCTCTTGAGCAAGTGCCAGTTGCTAGTTAGACGTGGGTATTTCCCAGCAAATGTACAAAGGCATGAATAGACATTCATATCACAAACACTTCCCAAGCACTTTGTACAAAAATGATTCTCTGAAAGCTAATGATAATCACCCCAAGCCCCTAAGCAAAAATACATTTCTATTTATTTCATAGCTCAGTTGGAAATAACTAAGACAATAAAATTTTAAAAATGACCAATACAATTATAAAAAGATTTGTACAGGTCTGTTTAAAAAAAAAACCTGAAATTTTATATCAGATATACTTAAGGAATACCACATTCTATTAATGTTTGTATTTAGGAAGAGTCAAAATGAGAAGCTCAAGAGTCTCATAGTCAAGGACAAGCAAGGCCAAGTGAATGGATGCAACTGCTGATAAATGGACTGTAGGTTTGGAGATATATAGTAATCAAATGAAAAGGAATTTTAATAATCTCTTTTGAGCTGGATAATTACCAGTCTATTAAACAAAGTCACCATTTCCCTAAGGCTAAAAGAAGAAAATGAATTCTTGTTCACGTAAAAGAAAAAAAAAAAAAAACTCAGTGAAACATATTCGTCAAATTATAATTTAAAAAACATAGAAACTTTATTGCAAAGTGAAAAGTTATTTTTCTCAACAGTCCTGCTTGCAAGGAAGAACTATATCAATCAGCTGGAACCTTGGAGAACAGAGGATGGCCAGATGAGATTTGAGAAGTCCTCACAGCTGAATGGGAGAGGAAGGCTGGAGGGTTTCTGTTGGTTATGTTAGACCTCGATGGGAACAAAAGGTCAGCATTTACCTCACTCCCCAGTGCTTCCAACTCTGCTATTAAAAGTATCCTGCAGCTGTTTTTAGGCTCAGCAAGGAGTAGAGCAGCAAAGAAATACAGTTGTCCCTCCAAATGCATGAGCTCTGTATCTAAGGGTTTAACCAACCATGGATAGAAAATATTTAAAAAACAAAATCATGCCTGCAATGAACATGCATAGACATTTTTCCCTTGGCATTAACCCCTAAACGATATATATAACAACTAGTTACATAGCATGCACATTGCATTATGTATTCTAAGTCATCTAGAGATGGTTTAAAGATAAGGGAGGATGTGCAGAGGATATACAAATACTATGTCATTTCATATAGGGGGCTTGAGTATCCATGGGTTTTTGGTATTCTTGCAGTCCTGGAACAGATCTCTAGTGGAGACCAAAGAACAAGCATCATCAATGGCAGCTTTGAGCGTGGGAAGTGAGAGTGGCAGACTACAGGCCAAATATTTGCCAGACTTTAAGGGATAAGTGATGAGTCTCACATTTTTCATTTTCATTCACTTCACTTGCAGAATGGTTGGCGCTGTCTATCACACGGTGGGCTCTGTGCCAAACACGTGCTCGGGGGAGAGAAACACGACGAAGACGCAGTCCAAGGAATAAGGATCTCATTTTGTGATTCTGATTCTGCCGATCACAACTAAATCTGGATAAGTATGACCAACAACCAGCTGAAGACCCTCCAAGTGAATAGTAGCCAGTGGATTGAGAAGGGAAATCAGAAAGGTCAAGTTGACTGAGCAGGGTTTTCACATTTTGTTTTTCTCTTTTTCTTTATTTTTCTCCACCTGGATTTGGCCTGAAGGCAAGCCAAATTAGGAACCATGCAACGGTGAAAAGGGCAAATAGCAAAGAAAAAAAAAAATTAGTTAAGTGCATCAGTGTGGATAGAGGTCAAGAGAAAGAGGCCCCTGCAAGCCAGTGGTGGTGGTTGGTGGGGGCACGTGGGTACTTCCACCTTCAGATCAGCTTCATATATAGATCTGCACCCAGTGGAGGAAAGATCATTAAAGGTTCTGAAAGGTGATCTGACCCTTGCTGCAGGGGAAGCAGAAGGGACCTGTGTTGTAGTGACAGTGGAGGAGGCCTTGTTAGATTGTCTCCTTTCTTTTGCTGTGTAGTTCTGTGGCCCAAATGTAGGCACTGACCACAGCACAGAAGGCCAAAACTCTAATAAGAGAATTCAGTCCTAATGGCCAGAGAAACTGGGAAAAGGGGACTCTAGAAGCCAGAGGATGTGAAGGAAACCCCCCAGGGGAGAGAGCTGGAGAAGTAACTGTGAAGTTCTGTATTGCAACTTATACAATCACCAGCAATATGAAGAATAGCAAGGGAAAAAAAATAATGAACAAACATGAGAGTAATTCCAGAGATTTGGGGGACAATATCAAAAGTACATTGAATGTCATTGGAGGCAAGAGATAATAGTGTAGGAAAATATAAAATTAATGTCTAAAAATTTCCCTAAAGTGGTGAAAGTCAAACTTACACACACACACACACACACACACACACAAAATCCAGAGAGGAAAAATTCAAAGAAATTAGTACTGATGCATAAAAATAAAATTACTGAAAACTATAGATAAAGCCTTCAAAGTAGCCAGAGGGGGAAGATATGACACACTACATACAGGGAATGGCAATCCTAATGACTGAAAATTTCTCATCAAGGATGATGGAGGCCGGGCGGGGTTGTGGCTCAGTGATGGAGGACTTGCCTAGCATGCATGAGGCCCTGGGTTCGATCCTCAGCAAAGCATGTAAATACATAAAATAAAGGTTCATCTACAACTTAAAAAATTTTTTAAAAAAAAGATGATGGAGGCCAAAAGACAGTACAACTTTTTTTTATTATTTGTGGGGTGCAGGGGCGGGTAATCAGGAATGGAACCCAGGAGTGTTTAATCACTGAGCAACATCCCCAGCCCTTTATTCTAAATTTTTATTTTGAGACAGCATGTCGCTGAGTTATTTAGGCCTCCCTAAGTTGCTGAGGCTGGCTTTGAACTTGCAATCCTCACGCCTCAGCCTCCTAAGCAGCTGGGATTATAGGCATGGACCACCATTTGTACCACCATACAAACTTTTTAAGGTGCCCAAAGAGATGACCTATCAACCTAAAACTCTCCATCTAGTGATATCTTAGAGAAATAAAGGTGAAATAAAGCCATCTGTGAAGAAGGAAAACAGAATCTATCACATCACACCAGTTCTGTAAGAAACGCTAAAGGAAATTCTAGAGGCTAATGGGAAAAGACATAATAGCACTCCTGAAACTTAAGAAATGAGGGAAGAGAAACAGAAATGGCTGATATCTGTATGAATATAGTAGGGCATTTTTCTCCTATTTCTTTAAAGTACATTTAATGTTACAATTTGAAAGTATTATCAATATAATAAAAAATAGTAGAAAAACATAGGGAATCAGAGTGTCTGCAGTGTTTACCACACTCTTAACATTCTTAACCGTGGACCAGTCACTGAAGATTCTTGAACCTCTGTCTCTCTTTTTCTTGTAAAATATAGATATTTATATTCATTCTTTAGGTCTATTAGAAATATTGTTCATAATCTATATAAAACGAGACCAATGAATGACATTTTTGTGGTAGTTTTTATTGTGGCTCTTGTTCAAGTTTCATTGTCCCTACAATCAGGTGATAATGGGCTCAAAATAGGAAACTGAATTTACTCCCCTAGAAAGGCTTGTACATGTTTTTTATGTTCCATTGAGGTAAAAAGTGTCTTGTATGGCTTACAGTGCATATAACAGTCATACTTTAGCAAAGTAGATTACTAATACAGAAAGATCCCAAAAGATATTATGCCGTCTCCCATGGGATCCTTGTCCACTAACCTAAGAAATCATTGGCCATGTTTTTATATCATGTCACTCTACTCCTAAACTCCCAAAACACAAATAAGTGAAAGCAAACAGCTGACACAAGACAGCCAATACCTGGTGACCTCCAAACCAGACCTTCTGACCTACAGTTTGAAAAGGGTGATTCTCTGAGGACTGGAAATCTGGAAACTTCAGAAGCTGAGCTGAGAGGAAGCCCTGGTAGCTGGGTCCACAGGGAGACAGTAAGCCAAAGTGAAGGGCTCAGATTACACAGAGAGCAGAGGAATCAGGGTAAGTCTGTACACAGAGAGAAGCAGAGGAGACATAAGATTGAGAAAACACATGGGGAAGGAAATCAAGAAAGAAATGATAATTATGAATAGATGTTCCCCAGACTGTCAACCGCTAGATCCTGTCCTCTCATCTGCTCTAGGAAAATACCCTGACTTTTAATTGTGACTCTCTTTTAAAAAGAAGGAACCACAGATTGGGATTTACAGAAAGAGAGGGAGCAGTTTGCTGGCTACCTGGAGAGGTTTGACCACACAGAAATATCCTCCAAGGGCATGTCACCATGGACTTTATTTTTCTGCTTATGCATCTAACATTCAAAAGTGCATAGATAGCATCATGCACATTTCAAAGCTTAGAACTTCCTGTTTCTTGAGATAACTGTATACTTTTATAACTTTTTATAACTGTGTACTTTTCCTATGCATCACACTTTGATTCCATAATTAAAAATGGTCATTCCCAATCATGAAT